TTTTTTTTTTTTGGTACCTAGAAAGTATCACAGAGGTAGTTAGACTGTCGTATTTGCAGAATTCTGCCCTCCTCCACATCATACTCCTGTTCCGTCTCAGGCTTGGCCCCCAATATTCTCTTCACATGATCCAGTGACTTTTTAGACCCCTTGTTTGGCCACGTCTTCAGAAAATAGCCACACTGAATGATAAATGGAAGTTGGCTGGAGTTGGTTGCTAAATATAGATTATGGCTTACCTCATAAAGGACAAGATGCGCTTGATAAGAGAATAATGAGACCTTAAGGTTCAGGGTTGAGGTTTCAGACAAGAGAATTCAGGAAGCTGCAGGAAAGAAACCTTACCTGATTTCAAGAGATGGGCCACATTTCTTGTGGAAAGATTAAAAAAGCAGTACTGTCTTAGAACTGTAGAGGTGAGCGTGCGTTATTTGGTTGTAGCTATTCACACAGGGCTGACTTCACCTGTGCATTTTTTTTTTTTTTTTTTTACCTTTAACACCAAATCCAATGAAAAAAGTATTGGGTTGAGTTGCCAGAAAGCACGGCTTTGTATCTGACCTTGCAATAATTATTGGAACATACCGATTAGCAAAGAAAAGCAAAGTGTTTGCAATGGAGAAGTTTCTAGTTCCTGGCACATGCTCTTTTGATATGGTGATGTATTTTCTGAAACATGCCTTTCACACCTCCTTACTGGCTTTTGAAATCCACATTGCACAGGCGAATGTCATGTGCATGGAGTTTGGCAACCCGAGGGTTAAGCAATGGCCGGCTGACGCTAGTGTGTAACCAGCACAGGTGCAGGGTTTTAGTGCTACAGCAGCCAATCAGGGGCAGACAGTGTGGGTTGAGTCATATTTTCCGTTTACAGAACCAATGGGTATTTTACATAACGACAGGGAGGTCAGGCTGAGGACATACCGAAGTTAGCACATGCATACTACACTCCAGGGAACAGGAAGGCAGGAAGATTAAAAAAAAAAAAAAAAAAAAACCAACACTTTTGAAGGAAAAGGAATTGACATTAGCCCG